AGACGCGCGCGCCCCCCGCCGCGGTTCGATTCCTAACGGACACCGTGAGAGAGGACGTTTTTTCGAATGTCGCGCCGCTCGAAAATAAGAGCGCGTTTCCGATTTGTCTCATGGTCGTGCGTTAGGGCCCAGGGGCGGGAAGCCAGCCGCCCGTTCACCCCCAATGCGCGCGTTAGGGCACCTGCGCTCCGCGGGGAGCCCGCGGTTAGTGGGCAGGGGCGGCCGTCCCCACTGGCCCGGACCCCAGGGTCCTCCAGGGACGCCCCTAAGTGTGAGAAACAAGTGGGAGAAGTTCCGATTGGAAATCGTCCTCTTCTGTCCGCGGACGGAGTTTTTAACGAGGTCAGGGGGCCGTCGTGTGCCACGCTGCTCATTTTGTTACTGAACGAGCCCAAATAAGACAGGTTAAGGTGTGATATGAAACTGTGCAGCACAGGTCTGCGTCGTAGAGGCTGTTACCGCCACAACGTGGGACAGCGCTCGAGAGGGCGCCGGGCCAGCAGCGGAGGTTCTTTCCTCTGAGCTGTTGCAGCCTGGCCAGGGCGGTGGCAGTGCCCCTGCCCACATCGCCCCCTGCCTGGGTGAAGCCAGTCTGCCCTGACAGGGAGGGTGCGTGCGCTTTGGGGAAAGCCATCTGCCCCCAAGCGTTGGCTGTGTCATCCCCGTTTGCCTTTGGTCTGTGTTCACTAATAATCTCGTGGTGGTGGCTTTTCAGGTGTGCTGGGGTGTGCAGCTATGAAGGGAGGGGCGGAATGTGTTCCATCCGGCTCAGTGAACCCCTCTTAAAGCTGAGACCAAGAAAGGATCTCGTAGAGGTAAGCGCTGCAGGTAAAGACACGAATGACATGCTAGATTAAGAGACAGCGTCAGATGAAGACACATGTATGTTACATGTACAGGGACGGAGGAAAGCATCTCATCTAAACACTTAAAGTTGTGGCTACCTTAGTATCAGACTAAAGATCTTAAGACGTTTCATTAGAGAGAAAAGGGCACATTATAATAACAAGCTAATCTGTTAAATAAAGATATCCTAACAACCTAAATAATTATGACCCTAAAAGTCATAACTTTGAACTACGTGAGGCACAAATTAGCAGTCAGAAAAGTAAATAATCCACAGTTGTAGCTTCAGTTAACAACTCTCTTGATAACTCAGCGAATACGCAGAAAATAGTAAACATAGAACCAAAAATTGAATATGATTAACCAAATCAACCCTAACGAAGATGCCCAACTGGACAGGAGCAGCTTAGTGAATATGTTGCGTAAACACATGGACTACCTTAATTGCAATGAACGGGGTTCAGAAGAGCAGACCGTTAAACCTATGGCCCATTCTAGAAAGATGGTTCATGACTTTGTCAGCTGAGAGGAATCTGTGAGCCAGAGAGGATTATCCCAGGTAGAGTAAGGAAATGCATTTTTATTTAAAAAGCACTGTAACAGATTAATGTGATTGTTTTGTGTTTCAGACCCTGTTGCACGAAATGATACACGCCTATCTGTTTGTCACTAACAACGACAAGGACCGGGAAGGGCACGGCCCCGAGTTCTGCAAGCACATGCACCGCATCAACCGCCTGACCGGGGCCAACATAACGGTGTGTGAGCTGCGCCTGCACCCTGTGCTGCTTATTCCTCCAGGGTCCCCCGGGACGGGACTGGGTAGAAATGACTTCTGTCTTTGAGGGTCCCCAGTGAGCTAGAGGCCTAGGGACACGGCGGCTGGCCTGGCCAGAGTAGAGTGGCCACGGGCCCGTGCCCCAAGGCCTCTGCCCGCTCCCAGGAGACTTCAGGCCTGCCACCCGTCCTGGGCTGCCACAGCTGCCCCAGGACCTGCCTCCTCTTGTGGTCTCCTCTAAACTGAACAGGACATTAACCCCACAGACTAAGCGCTTGGTACTTTGGTTTTTCCCCGCCTTCAAAAGGCGGTGGATGCCAGCGTGATGGACAACGGAACGTGCTTACCCTCTGCGTTTCTAGCTGTCAGCGTTACTTTTCTAGAGCTTGTCGAGTTACTTCAAGCTCTGGAAAGTGGTTTGCATTAGGAAACAGTCACATAAAATGCAGACTGGCAAACGAACTGCGGAGTTGCCAGCACATGAGACTTAGTTTCTTTCTTAGAATTTGCACTTCCGGCCAGGTCCTGGGTCGTCCCTGCTTTTGGGGACGGCTCTCTTCCGCGAATGTCTGTGTTTGTCTAGGAGGGGGGCTGGTCCAGCGCACACCTCTCACTCTTTCAGGTCACGTCCTGTTATCGTGAACTCTACCGGGCATCCCGTTCACGGTGCCGCCCCGTTTTATTTGTGACTCTGTTGTTAAAAAGTGACATCCCAGGCTGTAGGGGTTACGGGAGCTGGAAGCAAAACAGACCCAATTCCTGGACTTTCTGGCCAGTGAATTAGTGAGCAGAGTCCTCAATGGAAGGGGGAGGCGGGGTCTTCTACGCCTCTTTGCCCCCAGACGTTTGTCCTGTCTCCTGCAGTTGCTGCAGGGGGCACTGTCTGCAGGCCTGCCAAGTCAGACATTTAGCCTGTGGTGGAGAGAGACTGAGTGTAAAACTAGCCGGAGAGGTGTAGAAAGCTTAGCATTCTTTCCCACAAGGAGAACTTTTAAAAAAACGTCTTTGGTAAAACAAAGCGAAACAAAAACCTCGTGCTGTTTGTCTGATACCAGTAGTAATGTCCCATTGAGGTGACAGTAGAAAAGGCACTCAGCCACTTGGGAGAATCAGTTTGTAATGGCGCCCTGCCATCTCAGTGCCACCAAGAGGGGAGGGCTCACCGTCCTCTCAGACAGGACTCCTGTGTCTTCTGCTTCGGGTCTTGGGACAGGTCACTGAGAGGGCGAAGCAACAGGATCCTGTCGAAGGAGTGAAAAGCACATTTATTTGACTTGATGCGTGAAGGTTTCCACACAGCACGGGCTTGGCACCTCTGTGCCAAGTCCACACATGCCCCTCGGGGCACAAAGCTGACAGTGTTTGCATTCAGGAGACCGTTTCACCGATAGACATAACACGATGCCCCGTAAGGATCACTGCAGGGACGCGGGGCTGGCCGGATGCTCTCGTGGTTTGGGTCCAGCGTCTAAGGCGACAGTCCGCAGAGCTCAGTGGTGTGACTGACAGGGAGGAAGTCGTCTTTCCTGTGGCATTACGTAAAATCTCGTTTCTGTCCTGAGTTTGACCGTTTTAAAATTTGTTCTCTAAAACTTTCAGCACGTAGAGAGGCTTTTTTATTTTTTGTCTTCTCTCACATCTGTCTTTTTTTGTACAGCTTCTGAGGTCTTACGTTAGCTGCTTTTTGCCATTAAAATGACCTTTCGAACAGAAGCTAAACACAGTTGTCTTTCCCGACATGAAATTTCCGAAACTGGGAAGGTGGCGGCGAACACAGCGGCCGCCGGCGCGTTTGCGGGCGCTGACGCGGCCGCCCTCTCTGCGCAGGTGCACCACGCATTCCACGACGAGGTGGACGAGTACCGGAGACACTGGTGGCGCTGCGACGGGCCCTGCCAGCTGCGGAAGCCCTTCTACGGCTACGTCAAGCGTGCCACCAACAGGGCGCCGTCCGCGCACGACCACTGGTGGGCCGAGCACCAGAAGTCCTGTGGCGGCACCTACGTCAAGGTCAAGGAGCCCGAGAGCTACTCCCAGAAGCGCAAGGGGAAGGCGGGCGCGGGCGGGCGGCCCGCGGCGGGCGGCAAAGGTGAGTGGCGAGGCCCGGGGGCGCCCCCGTGCCTGGGGCGGCGGCTGACAAACAGGCCCCGCTCTGCCGGCGGGGGGACAGTGGAAGTCCCCTGCCCCCGTGTGACTCGGTCATGAGGAAACAGGAGGCAGAAAGGTGGTCGGAGCAGGAGCCGCAGCTGGGAGAACAATGCCCGGAACGGCCGTCCTCCCGACGCCCCTTCCTGCCGGCCCCGTCCAGGTGGCCCGCTGGCCGTGCGCCTCTCCACTGGGAGGAGGACGGGGAAGGGTGCGACACACGTGCGCCAGCTCCGCCTCTCACTCTCCCCTTCCGGGCAGGTTCGGGGGTCGTCGTGCCTGGAGAAGAGGCCCCAGGTTGCTGCAGTCACTGCTGCCTCTAGGACGCCGTGACGCGCCCCAGGGACACATGCTGTGTCCCCAGTCTGAGCTGTTCACTTGCGGAGCTCGGGACACCTGACGTGGAGAGTGTCTTGGGGGGGCCAGAGCGCCCCCAGGGAGGGACGTGGGGGCCGGGAGGTTTCCGGGCGAAGGGCCTCATCCTGCGCGAGGCGCCACAGCCCTGCCCGAGGCGGCCTCGCCCTAGGAGCCACCTGAGGACGAAATGGTATTTTTCCATTTGGAGGAACTGTCCTTTGGGATGGGGGTGTCCTGGGGCCCGTCGCTGCGTTCATTGGTCCCTGTGTCGAGGGAAGGTCTCGTCTGCCTGTCTTGCAGATAAAGCCAGCAGAGGCGAGACGCAGCCGCTAGTCCCGTTCAGTGGGAATGGCTACGTCCTGGGAGCGACGGGCCAGGCCGTCCCGCCCGGGGAGGTGGCCACGCCACGTGCTACTCGGAAGGCACAAGATTCCTCACGTCACGACCGTTCGGCAAACACCGCGAGACCCGGTTCTAAAACCGAGGCGAAATTCGTCCAGAATGGTTCAAGTAAGAAAACTGTAGTCCCCCCTGTTCTTAGTAGCGGTCACCAAAGTGTTTTAAGCAACTACTTCCCCCGAGCGTCGTCGGCTCCCAGCGCGAAGGCCCTGCGGGGCGCGGACGGGCCTCCTGCGGCAAGCGTGGCCCTGGGCGACGGCGGCAAGCACCCCGCCCCCTCTGGGTCTCAGAGAAGGGCTTCGGCGTCCAAGGTCGCCCCGAGAAATTCCACGAGAGCAGCAGCGTCGGCCTCCGTGGCGGCCCCCCAGGACGCGAGCCGGCCCGAGAGTGAGGTCCCAGGCAAACGGCCCCGGCTGGAGGGTGAGGCCGTTGGTGCCAGCGGCTTCGTCAGGGAGCGCGCGCAGAGCGATGGTGACCCAGCCAGTGCGTCCCCTGCCGCCCCGGCCCAGGGCTTCAGCGGCCAGCCCGGCCAGAGCGAAGTGGTCCGCTGCCCGGTGTGCCGGGGCCAAGTTCTGGCGTCTCAGATCAACGAGCACTTGGACCGGTGCCTCGAAGGCGAGAGCACCTCACTCAGAAGGAGGAAAAACCTCTGAGGAAGAGGATGGGCCTCGCATCCCGCCGCCGCTACCTCACCGCGACCGCCGTGCCGGCCCCTCAGGGAGCTCTGCCTCGTGCAGATTCGTAGGTTACGACCTGCTTCACGTGGCCAGCACGGAATGTTCTCGTTGACACGTGCGCACGTGAGATTGTGATCAGGGCTGTGAGGGCGCCCCGTCTGTGTCCACTCAACTTCCTCTTCTGGAGCCCGCAGTTCTGAATGTTCTCACACGTGTAGCTTTTATTAGACACTTTGTTCTTTCTTGCTCTTAAAGGTATTTGAATCTGTTAACCTACGTCTACGTCCCTCAGAGTATTTAACGAGTAATTAAATATATGGTTAAATTGAATATTTATTAATGCTGAAACTCGTTCCCAGTGCTGTTAGTATTTAGCGTCAGGCATACTGACCACAATGAAAACCTAGAGTATGAAGTATGTTAGTTGTTTTACTCAAAATACTTTTCTAAATCTTTAAACTTTTTTTCTCAAAATCTTAACAGGAAATGAGTTTTATGCATTTTAAAGAATTTTATGTCTGTTTCACCTTGGTGGCAGATTTTAGGTTAAAATAGATAAAGAGTATAGTAAAACAGATTTATTTTTGAATATTACTAGTAACAAACAGCCACTATAATTCTGTGAGCCAGAGTTATTGTCTCAGACTTTAACACAGCGAGTGGCTAAAACTCGGTGCTGAGTAACTGGTATATACGACAGCAAAGCTGCGTACTGTTCCGCAGTGGAACGTTATCTAGAAACAGCATCACGAACCTTAAGCCAAAGCTGAAACCATTACGACAGGGAATACCACTTGTGCATTTAAAAATAAAAAGTCGTGTCGCGACGGGGGCACGGATTCTCCCCTGCTGTCTCAGGGCCGCCTCAGGGTGCCGCACGCTCCCAAGACCGCAGGCCCCGCCGTCTTTCTCCTCAGCTTCGTGCCACGTGGCTTGTATGCGCATGAGGCGCAGGGTCCTAGGCGTGCGGCCGGTGGCCTCGCACCGTGCTTGGCTGCCGTCACTAGAGGGCGTCCTCGTGGCTGCGTCTTCCCAGCCGACTCCCGCAGCCCGAGGGCAGCCGCCATCGTCACCTCTGCCGCGCAGGCCAGCGCTAGCTGCCTCGTTCTTGAACTCACGGTGCGGTATCTTTGTTGCTACATGTGGCGGATTCTGTAGCGTTTGTGTGACTATGCCAAAGTTTACATGTCCATTTTAATATTAACAGGCGTCATTTCCAGTTGGGGCTGGCTGTTATGAACAGTGCCACTAAGAATGTCACTGTCATCTCGTGGCGGGCGCTCAGGGTCCGATTGCTGGGTCACGGGGTATGTTCACGGTTAGCGTTGGTGAATTCCGCAGTTGACGCTCCTTCGAGCAGCGGATGAGAGTTCTAGTCGTTCACCTGTTAACACTGTTCTCAGCCCTGTCTTTTTAGCCTGTCTGGTAGACTGTTTACAGTTTTGCTATTTCTTAAGTATGAAGTTGAAAAGTAATATTTAATAAATATAAATGATTTAAAATGTGTGTATTGTGTTATAACGTGTGTAGTTATACTTTCATAGAAAATCTTTACTCTAATTCAGTCCCATAAGTTATGTGCAGTTGAACATTTTTTGAGCCCACCTGGTACAAGGTTCTAGGGCTCTGAAGTAAGACACGTCCTCAGGAGCGTTACGGCCTGGTTGGGGGGAGCGGGGGGAGAGACAAAACCAGATGCATTTCCACACGGTAAATGCTGTGACAGGCTTCGGCTGACGCTGCGGGAACTAAGGGACAGCACAGCCGAGGGCCTCAGGTATGTTTCCTGGGGAAGGGGACATCTGAGCTGCTCTGGGACGAGTCAGGTCAGCCTGGTGAGAAGGTGGGAAGGGCCTTGCGACCAGGAGAAGCACAGAAGAGGCGTGGACAGGCAACCCCCTGGGAGGACAGCTGGCCAGAGAGGGTAGACGGGACAGAGCTAGCCACGCAGAACGTCAAGGGCAGAGCCTCATCTTTATGTCCAGTTAGTGTGGCCCCTGACGACACTGTCGATCCAGCTGGGCCTGGTGCCCTGGGGAATGGATGGGTTTGCCAGCCCGTCCGGAACATCTGAGAAGTGTTTTCGTGGGTTCGCGGGGGGCACCATGGATGCGAGGAGGGTGACAGGACCTGCTGGGAAAGGAGGTGTCACATCGAAAGAGTCTGTCGGGTAAGTGATGACGGAAATGTTAGCCGCCAAGGAAACGGAAGCTAAACTGGGAATTTAAACCCTCACTTCAACCCGTGTTAAAAACTGGAGAAAATTTGCGCCCTAAGAAATCTGTTTCTTCCAAATCTGAGTCATTCACTATCTCATATCAAATAAGTTTTCCGTTCTAAGTTTCTCCCTTTGAAAGCAAACTTCCTACCCTAATGGCAGCTGGTGATTCTGGGTCAACCTATAAGCTGCTATCACCCTTCATTTGGGGAGTGGACTTTACGTTATAAAGTCCAAGTATAACTACGTTATCTCGGAAAACTATAGCAAGTTTTTCTTGCTTTTGTAGAAATATAAATGTGTGTCCTAACTAGAAAGTCTACGGTGGGAGATAAAATAGGACAAAAAACTTATGTCCCACTGTCCCAAAGCTCTGACTTTTTTGCAAAGCCGATAGGATCTTCAAGTAAATGAGAACGTGAGAAGCAGCTGCTGAGGCCTCCAGCGGGGCTGCTGCCGGCTGGACCTGGGCGCGGCCCACGCGGACGGGAGCATCTCGCCAACGCCCAGCTGTTCCCAGTTCTCTATCGACGGGCGAGTTTCCCGTTGTCTCCGTGTTTGTCCTTGAGGCTGTTGCTGCCTTTTTAGCAATTTGTAGTTGCTGTTGACTAGCAGTGTGTCCACCAAGCCAAATACACGATTATTCCAGATTTAACCGCCCGGGGAGCCGAAATTAACAACAGGCTGCAGCGTGGAGATGAGCTCAGGCTTTCACTATTTCTGACATCCCACCAGGGTGTCCGAAGCCCTTGACACATGTCCTCTGAAATGACCAGGAAGGCCCGATCTTGCGGGGCTCTGGACCCACATCCTCATCAGTTTCCCACGCTGTGCCCTGCCATGCAGGAAGGTGCCCCTGTCCCTCTGTGCTGGCGCTAAAGCTGCCCGTAAGCTGTGCCGTCGCTTAATGGGCACCAGGTGGCGCTCTTGGTCAGGTAAATGTCTCTGAAAACTCGCTGGCAAAGGGCGAGGGCCACTTGCCAACAACTGCCAGGGGAGCTGCCGTGCAGGTTCAGACGGGAGCAGGGTCTACGGCCAGGTCCTGGGAGGGGGGACGCCGGGCTGAGAGCACGTGCTTCGGACAAACGGCCTGACCTCGGGGCACCCTCACCTCCACTTGTTTTTATTGACCTTCCACTCTGAACACCGAGGCGACACCAGGCTCAGGCAGGAAAGAAGCCAGCGCCCACACCGAGCTCCTCCCGCGTGGCCACCTGGGCCCGGTGCTGGTGGCAGGCGCTGCGGCCTCCTCGGGCCCACGGGACGTCCCCCACCCCACGCCTGGGTCCCACAGAACCAGGGCAGCCTCTAGGATTTTGCCAGTCGGTGGGGACGCGGCTAGGCGCTTCTCCAGAGCCACTGTCACATGCTTTTGCAGAAACACCACGACAAACGCTGACCCTTCTCCAGGCTCCTGAAGGCTCCGAGCCTGTGTGTTGTCAAGCACGGCCACCCCCGGGACACAAACCATCCAGGTCTGACGCGTTTCATGCAAACTAAACACAGCTGACCCTCGAACATGGCTTTGAACTTACACGTGGGTTTTTCTCAATAGGTACTGTAACTTTTCCTTATTCTCTTAACCAGATTTTCTTTTCTCTAGCTTACTTTATTGTAGGAATACACTCTATAACCCATACAACATACGAAATACGTATTAACTTTCTGTCATTGGTGAGACTTCCACTCAAAAGGCTAGTAGTAGTTTTCGGGGAGTCAAAAGTTACCATCATTTTTGATTGCGCGGGGGGGTCGGTGCCCTAAGCCCCCTGCTGTTCAACGGCCAGCAGTGTGTGAAATCTGCATCTACGTCAAAGAAATCACATCGAAGAATTGTTGTTTTACAGAAGATCCCTCACAGGGAGGGCTCTCTGTATCCGTACACACCTAAAGCAGCAGGGAAATATAAATACAATCAGCGTGCACACACACACGTAAATGGTTCCCAAGAACTCACTCACACAGATGCACTTACTCGTTCAGCTGCTCAAACAGCCGCCTCCACAGGGTCCGCGGACGGCTCCGGCTCCGGCTCCGGACGTGACGTCTGCGGTCGCCGTGTCGCTGTCGGTCGGTCATCGTCCTCGTTGCTGTGTGCCTTCATTTTGGGAGCACGCGTGTGTCTGTTTTGAACGCTTAGTGGCCCGTCGTGATCACGCTTTCCCTGTGGCTTCTCAGCTCCCCAGACCCCCGCCTCACTGTCCCGGGGACCCCTCACCCTCCACACTGGTCCGGCTCTGGATCCCATGCTTCCTCCTCTGGCGAAGCGTGTCCTTCGGCGCATCCTGGGAACGGGCATGTCGCTGGGAAGTGTCACGAGGCCAGTGTCCTCACCCTTCGTTGGTGACGTGCCTGAGCTTAGAATTCTAGTTCGGAGGTGATTTCCCTTCGGATTTTGACGGCATCGGCTCCCTGGCTCCCAGACTGGACGCTCAAAAAGCCGAAGCCATTCCCGTGCCTAGTTCCAGATGTGGAAGCTGCTTTTCCTCTTGAAGCTCCCAGGGTTATTGGTCCCCAGGGCTCGGGGGGTGCACGGCGTGCTTTAGTGTGTGCCTGGCTGTAAGTTCGTGCCCTGCGTGTGGGGACATCGTAATGACATTCATCGCTTCTGCCCTCTGTGCCCCGCTCCCTAGAAACCCCTTACCTGTCTTGGCAGTTCTCGCTTGCGGGTTCATGTTTAAGGGGAGGTAGTTGGGCTTCCGGTTTGCCAGTAAATATTGGCAGCTGCCTCAACCCGAATCTCTCTCATCGTCTCCCCAACGCCATACAGACCAGGTGTGGGTACCTGTCACGCGTACCCGCAGCGTCACCGTAAACGCATCCGGAAGAGACCGAGTGTGCGAGGGCAGAGTGGGGCGGGAGCTTGGGAAGGGACTCGGGTAGCGGGGCCGCCCGCAGCGGTGCACGGGGACGCAGCGGCCCCGCGAGGGGAGGACGCGATGGACCTGACCCCAGTGAGCCGGGCCTTGGCCCCCCAACATCAAGAGGAGGGCGCCGGAGGGCTCACGAGCTCGGCGGGGGCCCTTCATGGGGAGGGGAAGATGACTCTTCGAGGCTTGATGGTCAGGGGAAAGAAGCAGGGGTCTTAAAGGGAAAAACCTACCGACTCGGAGGAGACCCCAGCCCCTCCCACCTCCTCTCCGAGATGCACCGCGTTTCACTGTCCCGACCGAAGACGACACTCGAGTCAGAAACCCAGAAGCCACACAAGCCTCGTCCCTGCCTGCTTAGGACCCACTGTGCAAGTCAATGCTACCTTCTGAGTGAGCAGAAAAAGGAAGACAATGTCTGCG